CCGCCCTGCCCTTCCCCGGGGCTGCCCCCGCCCCCTGGCCCAGAACACGGGGGGCTCGGGAAAGTCACGGGACCCGTTGCCTTCTCGGCGTCGGTTCCGGGCGGCAATAGAGAGAGCAAGGACGAGTGAAGTAGGACATCCTTCAGGGGATGGAAGCCGAGGCTTGGAGTAAGGAGGGAGGGCAGGAAGGCGGGGAGGACGCAGATGATGCTGCAGCTGGAGGGATGGCAGTTAGACAGCCAGAGGGACTGGTCAAGGGGACAGGAAGGGGACTCACACTTTGAGAGGAGGGAGGAGGGCGAGAGAACGGGAGGTTTTGCGCCTAGAGGGACACCACACACAGAAGAATGGGGGAGGGAAGCTGTGTTTGGAAGCCGGATGAGGAGCAAAAGACCTTCGCCACCTCCCTGATGGGGCTCTGTCTCCTGTGGTGCTCGCACTCCCTGGACCGAAGGGGAGCTGACTTTGCAGCTGGAGGGACAGGTTAGACAGCAGATTCATGGGTTAAGCAAAGCAAGTCATAAACTCTCTAGACATGGGGGAGGGGGTGGGGGTGGGAAGGTGGCGCTGTGAACCAACGTTACTGCTCATGCAAACCAATGTGGGAAATGCAGGGGTTGCTGGGAGCCCAAAAGGCCCCCTGGCCGGGGCTCTTGCAGATGAATGTGCAGCCTGGTGCCAGGAGGTGGGCCTTGACGGCTGCCCAGCCACTGGGGACTTACTTCTCAGCGCCCAGAATACCAATGACAACCTCCTCCCAGCTCCAGGGCCTCTGCTTCCCTCCTCTTTCCCAGGCTCTCTCCCCTCCCTCCTCTTTCTTCCCTCCTGGGACTCCAGGCAAAGCCCCTGGCACAGACAGTGGGCAGGACAGCCAGACGCCGGATGGATTCTCTCCCCTGTACACCAGCGGTAGCATCAAGGAGAGCTTGTCTGAGGCTTTGATCCCCATAATCGTCAGCAGCACCCCCCAAATATCCCAAAGAGAGTGAGGTGCGGTGCACGCAATGCAAAGGCAGGCTAAAAGCAAGTTCCTGTCCTCCCGTCTAGACTGCACCCAAGTCCCTCCTGCGTGGGAAATCGGGGCTGCCTTCCACTGGATGTCCCAACGGCCCCAATCCTTGAGGAATTCTGGCAACTCCCAGAGACGCATCTCCTGTAGAGACAGGACAGGAAGACCTAGGATGGAGGGAGGTACCGTCCCTCAGTGAGAGAAATGCCCCAGGCGGGGAGGGGAGAATGAAGAGGACAGAGCAATGTGCTTGGGATGGTTTAGGGAGGAGGAAACCTCAGTTTATTGATTTTGTTAAGTAAATGTTAACTGAGTGTCCACTATGGACCAGGCACTATTTTAGGCCTGGGGGTGCTGTCCCAAGTCCTCTAGTGGAGAGGAGGATCCAAGGCCTTTGGAACAGATCCGAACCTGGTAGCCCAAGGACCTCCCTTGGCTCCACTCAGACCTTCTGTCCTGCAGGACAGTGTCAGCATGGGGTGTACATCCAGCCCGACCCCACACGGCTCTTCTCCACCAGAGGCTCAATGGGGCCAGGCAACCGAATGGCTGGAATTCAGTCCCAGTGGTGGCTCACAGGTAACCATAGATTTTGCCTCCGGAAAACTTGTCTGTGACCTGGGAAGACAGAGAAAGTGACCTTCCTCACTACCTCCCCTCATGTGCCCTAGGAGTGTAGGCACAGTTTGGTGCCCAGGGGGAGTCCAACCCTGACTGAGGCCAGCAGCACCTGGGTTGGGACAAGGGCTGGTACCAGACAGTCTGTTCCAAGAGGGAGACCCCTAGTGGGAAGCCAGACAGAGTGAGAGAACAGAGCAGCTGCCGCTGTGAAGGTCTTGATGAGAGCCAGCATTTGAGTCATGGCACTGTTTTGCCCTTTGCAGTGGCAAAACCTTGAAATGCTTCTGTAGTAGCATCTACTCTATTGGATGACATCTACTGCTCTGGGTGCCATCTACTGTGCTGGGTGCCACCTACTGCGCTGGGTGCCATCTACTGCTCTGGGTGCCATCTACTGTGCTGGGTGCCATCTACTGCACTGGGCTGGGTAAAGGAAGCCCCTGGCCTACACGTCAGCAAAACCTACTTCTTTTCCTCTACTTGTCACACACACACACACACACACACACACACACACACACACTCAAACACACACACACACACACACACACACACACACACTAATCTCCACCAGATCTCCTGGCCAGGCAGTCAGTGGGCCACTCCTCTGTGAATGGGATGGGGGTGCAGTGTTTGAGAGAGAAATCTTTTCTTGAGGATTTCCTAGGGGAGGAATAAACACCTCCCCAAGCCTTTTCCAACATTGCCAGCTGTAACAATTCACACTGAAGTCTAATCGTGCTTTGAACTGGCAGTTTCTGATCAGGGACCTTCTTTACTGTCTTTACTTACATCTTCACCCATAGCCATGTGACCACCCTCCCATTTCTATTCACTTGCTGAGCAAGATCTTCCCTTCTAGGTCTCAGAAAAGGACCCCCAGGGACTGGCTGAAAGCAAACAGAACCAAAGGAAGCAGGAAGAACGCGGGTCACAGTTCAAGCAGAACCACTGGCCCAGTAACAGGAGGAGAATGTCTCAGGTAACCGTAGGTATCTTCTGGATAAAGAAACGGAGACCAAAGAGGTGAAGTGACTCTCTAGGGCCCTGGTCGGCAAACTGCGGCTTGCGAGCCACATGCGGCTCTTTGGCCCCTTGAGTGTGCCTCTTCCTAAGCCTTAGGAGTACCCTAATTAAGTTAATAACAATGTACCTACCTATATAGTTTAAGAAATTTCAATCGTTGTACTGTTGATATTTGGCTCTGTTGACTAATGAGTTTGCCAACCACTGATCTAGGGTCACACAACAGGTAACTGACCGTGACCAAAATGAAGTCTCTTGCCTCCCAGGTCAGGGTCTTGCCAGAACTTGGAGCGGTCTCTCTCTGGGGAGAGGAAGCCTGGGAGGTGGAGAGAAGACAGAGAGGAGGGAGAGTGGGGGGAGCGCTCCTCCCTTTTCCACGTGCAGCCCAGCTGGCTTGCCTCCCAGCCTCCTGAGCCCTGGGGAGTTTTCCAGTCTCTCCAGATGAAGACAATCCATCTCCTGCCTCTCCCCTTCAGCTGAGGTCACGACCCAAGTTGAGGAGACAGAATCTCCCCTCCAAGTCCAAGTTCTTCCATCCTAAGAGCATTCCATCTCCAGTGTTAGCCTTGGGCCTTTCTCACTGCACTCCCAACCACAAAGGCCACTGGAAGAGCCTGTCCTTCCCAGCCCCTTGAACACCTGCTTCCACTTTCCCAGGCTTGGGGGTAAGGGCCCAGGCAGCTTAGTTCCTCTCTGAGGCCCTGCATGTCACACAGGCACCTGGGAACGTGCATGTGGGGCTGAAGGGAAGGATGGAGGCAGTGCTAAGCGCTGGCACAGCTGTGTTAGGAGAATGGGGGCTTTGATAGCTTCTGAAAGGGGCCAGGAAGCAGGGGCTGCTAGTCCAGGCGAGGGGGTGGCCAGGAATGGCTGGGTATAGCTCTAAGGGCTCCTGAAGCTGAAAGAGAATGGGGGTGGGAAGGGAAATGGGGGGTGGGGAGTCAGTGGTGAGGCCTACAGACTGAACAACCCCTGCTGTATGAGCAGGAGCCACTGTCCCCTGAGCTTACAGACCCTCGCTTTGAGGGATGCAAACTCTTGTGTTTAGAGGAGACCACCAGTCTGTTCCATAAGGAACAGCTGAAGGTACTGGAAGGCTCGACCCTGAGTACAACCAAGTCTACTTATTGACAAAAAGTCCCTTCCCTCAGGCTCCCTGCAGTCCTGTCTCTGGCTCCTGATGGGGAAGACCATTCACTTTTCTATGATGCTGGGCCAGCTATTAACCTCTCTGAGCCTCAGTTTCTTCACCTGTAAAATGGCACTAACACCTTGATTTATGGTTTTGATGTTGGAACCTTGTAAATATTTTATAAAATTAAAACACAAAATTAAATAATTCAATTAACTTTAAATTAAATTTTAAAAGAATAAAAGTGCTTCAATCCCTTAAAATCTAAAACTTAAACAAATGCACCTAATTGTATATGAAGTTGGAGGCAAAGCCACCCAGAATTTTCTGATTATAAAACTCAGCATTTTTTTTTTAACTCAGCATTTTTACTATACATTTCTAAGAGCAAAAGAGCCATGGAGAAATCTTGATGTTGGCATTACTATTTTGAAAAGTTTTTTTTATTATGATAAAGCAAATAATTATAGTAATAGTTTTAAGAACTAAGATTTGCAGTGTAAAAGAAAGTGAAAGTTAAGCAATCACTGCTAACCTTTCATCTGAATTAGACACAACAGCATGAACTCATGATGTGTGTGTGTGTGTGTGTGTGTGTGTGTGTGTGTGTGTGTGTGTGTGTTCTGGAGAACAGTTATATATAACATTTATAAATATTATTTGTGTATACAGTTTATTTAGGAGCAGTAACAATCTGATAACAATGAATATGCCTTGTGCCCAGATTGTAGTCTTGAACTTTCCACTAAAAGGAACCAGGACTCTGGAGAAATTCCAGGCCTGCAGCAGGATAATTTTTCATACTTGAGAACTCAGGTCAAGTTCATGTCAAAAGGACCCAATAGCCAACTTGAGAATACTCCCACTGGCCAAAAAACTTCAGCATTAACATGAATCATGACTGTAAGAGATGGAAACATATCCAATAATATAAAAAGTCAGTAAGTTCATAATGCTACTAAAACATGAAATCACTGGTCACCTTTGGACATCGATAGCACACCAACTCACGATTTTGGAAATCCATAGGGTACAGCAGATCCTGTTGATGCCCCTGCCCATATCCTCTTAGCAGTGACCTCAACAAGCCAAAGGCTGCTGACTGCTGAGGAATTTTTCCGATTGGGGAGGTATGCTTGGCCTAAGTGCATGGTGAGTCAGAAGTACCAGAGGATTAATGCCCCTGGAGACAGCCCTCAACCAGTGACAGAGGGTGAAACCCCAGCCCCCTCACCTCTCAGGCAGGAACTGTGAGGCAAGTCCTCCAGTCTCCAGCTGCCCATGGTCATCACCTGTTCAATTATTTGGATTACTTATTCAATTATTTATTAGATCCCTTCCCTTCCCTGTCTCACTTTCCAGGTTTATTAAGATCTGGGAACTTTCAGATCCACAAAGTCATGAGCACATGTGGGTGAGCACAGTATTCCAAAATGGCACATTTGTGATTGGGAATGAGCATGCTCAGAGGGAGCAGGAAGCCAGGGCTCCCACATTACTTGTCTCTATTGCACCCATGCCTCTCTCTCAGCTCACCCTATAGTTTTATGGGATTTCTCCGTGGTCATACTCCAGAGGAGGAAAAAGCCTAGGCCTGTTTCTTGGATGGGTCACTTTGATATTTTGATGTGAGCTAAACATGGACTGCTGCCACACAACAGACCCACTTAGGGGTGCCCTTAAAAGATAGTGGTGAGAGCCGAACCGGTTTGGCTCAGTGGATAGAGCGTCGGCCTGCGGACTGAAGGGTCCCGGATTCGATTCCGGTCAAGGGCATGTACCTGGGTTGCGGGCACATCCCCAGTAGGGGGCGTGCAGGAGGCAGCTGATCGATCTCTCTCATCCATGTTTCTAACTCTCTGTCCCTCTCCCTTCTTCTCTATAAAAAATCAATAAAATATTAAAAAAAAAAAAAGATAGTGGTGAGGGAGGATCCTCCCAGGGGGTTTCAGGCAATACACTGGCCACCTACTTTGCCGTGAGAGAGGGGACTTGAGGGAAGTATATACATGAACTCTTGAACAGTGGCAAATGGCTTTGTTGGTTGGCCAGGGGCCAGGAAAGGGTAAGACTGGAAGATTGGAGATAAGAAAGTCTGGGGAAGAGCTATATGGGTGGACTGACAGCAGTGGGCATTGTATCTTGTGGCAGGACCATTAAAGAACATTCACTGCAGAGGAGACACTGAATAGCCAAGGGAAAAGAAGGATTCTAGTGGGTAACAGCCAGCCTTTGTCCTCCTCGATGCCAGGGCTTGCACAAGGGGCCCATGAATGGAGTCGCTGTGGCAGTAGACATGGAGGCTATGTGAGGGCCCACCAGCAAGGGCTCCCTCTCACCAAGGCTAATCTAGCTGCTGCTAATGCTAGATGTTTGACCTGTCAGCAGCAGAGACAGACACGGAACCTTCAACATGGTACCATCCCTTAAGGAGCCCAACCAGCCACTGGGCAGCATGTTGATTACAATGTACCTCATTCAATCTGGAGGAGAGAGCAATATCTCCTTACTGGGATTAATATTCTGGATATGGATTTGCCTTCCCTGCCCACACACCTTGGGCAGCACCATTATCCAAGGACATAAAGGAAATGACTTAGCTTTATGAGATCCCATATAGTATCACCTCTAACCTAGGGGATCCACTTTACTAGTGAAGGAAATGTGACAATGGGCATAGGACCATAGTCTCCATTGGCCCTATGATACACCACATCACCTTGAAATTGCCAGCCTGATAGTCCACTAGCATGGTCTCTTTACAACACATCTAAATACCAGCTTGGGACCAGCTGGTGTGGCTCAGTGGTTGAGCATCAACCTATGAACCAATGGCCAGGGCACATACTCGGGTTGCAGGCTTGATCCCCAGTGGCGGGGGTGGGGGAGGGGGTGCAGGAGGCAGCCAATCAATGATTCTCTCTCATCATTGATGTTTCTATCTCTCTCCCTCTCCCTTCCTCTCTGAAATATACCAGCTTGG